TGCCTTAAGATGATGATACGGATGAATCTGAGCAGCATCCAAGTCGTTGGATAGAACTTTCTGTGGTGATGGGGACATTTATTTGTGCGGCCCAAAGGCAGCCATCAGCTGCCTGTGGCTGCAGAGTACTTGAAAAGTAGCCAGTGCGGCTGAGAAACTTGCAATTTATTCACATTTACAATATAAAGTTTTTAATTCAATGAATTTAAATTAAATGTAATGAGGCTAGATGCAGTGGTTCACTCCTATAATATCAGCAGTTTGGGAGGTCAAGGCAAGTGGATCGCATGAACCTGGAAGGTGGAGGTTGCAGTGAGTTGAGATTGTGCCATTGTACTCCATCCTGGGTGACAAGAGCTAAACTCCATCTCAAAAAAATTTTTAATTAATTAATTAATTTAATTTAATTAATATAAATTCCATAAAAGTTTAATTCATTTAAACTTAAATAGCCTCCTGTGACTACTGACTCTCTTATTGCATAGATAATTTGTGAGATTCATTGGCAAGTTAGGCTTATAGTAAAGATCTTTAGGCTTTGGCTCATAAAGATCAGCCTTTAAGTCCTCTAATCACTAACACTGTGACCTTGGATTTATCTCTTTTCTGGGCCTGAACTTCTTGTTCATAAAATGGGAATCAATACTATTTATATTTAGGGCCGTTGTGACCACTGAAAATAAAACATGTAAACTGTTAGCACAGAGTTTCAATAAATGGCAGTTGTTAGTATTAAATGATGGAGGTCCGTATTCAAGAGCATAATTCAATTGTTTTGATTTTCTGACCACCAGCCTGAACAAGAACTATGCTGAGAGGCAAGCAGCATGAGGGAACCCCCAGGGGCTGTTGCCCAGGATGGAGTGGAGTGGCCTCTTAGTCCAGCAACTAACAATACTTTTCTGTTTAGTGATTCTTTTATCTCAGCCTTGCTGTGAGCTGCCTTTTTTCAGTGTGATTACTTCTAGCAAATCCGCCCACTCCTCATAAGGTGCATTCCTCGCTGCTTTTTTCTATTTCCTCAGAACTATGGTTGTTAAGGGGAAAAGACAAATTGAGTTTGTTCAATCAATAAGTTTAATTTTACATAAAAATTCTAATTCAATGAAGTCTGATCTGAGGGCTGAGGCTTTCCCAAGTCTTTTTCTGTGGAATTGAGAGCACAAATTCACAGACCTTATTTACATTAGCCCTGCCAGATTTGCTACAATCTCTTGGGTAGATCTTAAAAAAAAAAAAAAGGCCAGGCGCAGTGGCTCAAGCCTGTAATCCCAGCACTTTGGGAGGCTGAGGCGGGTGGATCACAAGGTCAAGAGATCAAGACCATCCTGGTCAACAAGGTGAAACCCTGTCTCTACTAAAAATACAAAAAATTAGCTGGGCATGGTGGCGCATGCCTGTAATCCCAGCTACTCAGGAGGCTGAGGCAGGAGAATTGCCTGAACCCAGGAGGCAGAGGTTGCAGTAAGCCAAGATCGTGCCATTGCACTCCAGCCTGGGTAACAAGAGCTAAACTCTGTCTAAAAAAAAAAAAAAAAAAAATGCTTGTCTGTCCTCCCTCAACCTAGAGACCTGGCATTTGTTGGGAGTACTACAGGTGATTCTGTTTCATGGTCTGAAAACCTCTGATGTATGCCATGATTTCAGGGGGATCTGTGGACAGATAGGGTGGTCTGACTGACCCTAAGTTAATTAAGGGACTGTTGTACCACTCTTGGGCAAGATAATGTGTACAAGCATCCCATTGATCCAATACAGGCATGCTGGGGGTACTCTGGATATTTGATTGACATTTTCCATGGCATAGCCAATCACTGGAACAAGTGCCACTTGGAGCTGGGCCTGGATTCCGGAACTCTTTTTTATTTTTACTGTTTAACTTTCCCCCCAAGCTGCTTTGGTTGTCTTGTTTTCAGAGATGGTTTACTTCCTTGTACTCTCCTTTTGTGAAGCTTGCATCTATTTATGATATATTATTATTCAGCTCACAGGCTTTTATACATTTAAAGTTTCACTAGTTGTTGACACGACTTAGGTACATACCTACCTGGAGAAAGACTAGTGAAAACTCTGAACTCATGTCTTTTCAGTTTCACATTTTCTTTCTTTTTTTTCCTAGAGATGAGGTTTCATCATATTGGTCAGGCTGGTCTCGAACTCCTGACCTCCCAAAGTGCTGGGATTACAGGCATGAGCCAATGTGCCTGGCATAACCAATCTCACATTTTCCCATAAGAAACCATTCTGGCGGTCAGAGCAGTAGGGCTAATAACTGCATGTCCTTAGGCTCCCTCCCTTGCTAGGAGTAGTCCCACTGTCCGCAGTGACCTGTGAGTAATGATTAAATTAAATACTGATTCATATATGGGTGCTTGTTTGGGTACTAGCCAAATGTTGTTACATACTTTTGGAGACAGAAATCTCTGTGAAACAAAAGAATCGCAAGCCTAGGCTAATGGCTCACTTCTGAAGAATAAACAACATAATAAAATTCCAGCAGAAACAACTAATTTCAACATTTCCTGAAAATTTGTAGCAGGCCTTAGCGTTTTCAGTCCCCAAGATAAGAAAACTATGTCCTAAATCTGCAACCATCAAGGATTATGACAGCATGTTGTATTGGCGTAATTGATAAGACAAGATATTTACTGAAATATTCCAGCATAAATGTTTTATTGTGTTCTCTCTGGCTCTTTAACCACATCTTTTATTGGTTTTTGGTTTTGGTGAGGACAATTTGGGGCCATTAAATCTATAATGGGCAGTAGTAAAACCCTAAATGAGAACCTTAATAATAAGAGTTAGGGCTTCCTACTAAGTGAACACCTTGGCAGATACTTTATTTATCAAGAAGTAGATTAGGCAATAGAAAAGCTAAAACTTGGCAGGGTGCAGTGGCTCACGACTATAATCCCAGCACTTTGGGAGGCCAAGGTGGGTGGATCACCTGAGGTCAGGAGTTTGAGACCAGCCTGGCCAACATGGCAAAACCCTGTTTCTACCAAAAATACAAAAATTAGCTGACCATAGTGATGTGCGCCTGTAATCTCAGCTACTGGGGAGGCTGAGGCAGGAGGATCACTGAACCCAGGAGTTGGAGGTTGCAGTGAGCTGAGATCATGCCACTGTCCTCCAGCCTGGGTGAGAGAGTAAGACACCAACACAAAAAAAAAAAAAAAAAAAAAAAAAAAAGAGAGAGAGAGAGAATAGAAAAGCTAAACTCATTGGTTGCATTCATGATTTTCAAAGCATGGATCATAGGGGAATCTTTTATGACTTTTTAAGTGAGTTTTTTTGAAAGAAACAACTCAAAATGGCATAGTAAGAAAGACAATGTATTGGTGCATTCCGTCAGAAGTTTAGGGATTTGACTGGTTTTAGAGGTGGTTACCTACAGATGGTCATTGATGTCATCAGTGTTCTTTTCTACCTCCATTGCTTAGCGTGGCTTTTTTTCTGCTTTTGTTTTATTCTCCAGTACCTTGACTCCAGCTGCTGTACTCTTGTATGATAAGGTCTCAGGAGCTGTCCTGTCAGTCAGGGAAAGGACCCCCCCTTTTTTGTTCCCAGAGGATATTCTAATTGGCTGGCCTGGGTCATATCCCTCACAATGTCAGGAAGGTCTGTGGGCTAGTCACACCCAATGGGAGGGGAAAATTCCTAAAAGGAAGGGATTGGGGCAAAGAAGTGAAAAAAGAAAAGTGTACTTGAGAGGGAGAGAAGTTGGTTCCATTTGCTATGGGAATGGTGAAAAATAATTTCTTTCTGCTGTTATGTGACTTTTGGAGTGAATGCAGACCACAACCTAATCTGTGATCAGGAGGAATGCATTAGTATGCCAAAGGAAAGTTCCATTTAAATCCCAGTATCATGTCACTTTCTTAAAATGGTAGTCTTTTAAATAGTAAAAATTTTTATCATAGAAGTCTAAGTTTTATTTAGTTGGCAACTTAACTATTATGAAACAATAGGTTCATTGAATTGAAGCACAATTCAAATATAAACGATCTTTCTGAGAAAATGAGATAAATGCAATTGTGTTTTCAGTGTACTAGAGATTAAAAAGAAATACTTGCTAAATATTTTCTAGAAGAAACAATTATTTTGTGAGTCCGTAACCCATTTAAATTCATTTTGATAAAGATGGATTTTATCTTTTAGAGTTTGCAATAGCAAGGCTAAATTACAATGTGTTTAGTCTTCCTAAAACTATCCCTCTCCTGAAACGACGAAGTTACTAGGCAAATCTAAGTAGAAAGTATTCTCAAATAACATATTAGGCGATTAAAAATGATGCACCCCAAAACGCTCCATTTTAAAACATCAACCGGCCCACATTTCAGAGGTAGTACATTTTTATTCTTTACTATTTTCTCCAAACATTTTTTTTGAAGCCTTAAAAATGCCTTCAGAAATGAAGTTAGGACGCCCCGTCTGAGTATATGAAAGTAAACAGAAAACGTCAGGCACCAAAACGTTTGGATGGCTTGACAACCAGGTGGGGTTATTTCATTCAAGACACAGGCTCTAGGTCTCAAGTGCTGAGCGGATCTGCGCTGGGGTGGCAGTCCGAGATCCAGAGAGATCACCGGATGGGAGCGGGGTGGGGGTGCTGGCGTGAGGATGAGGGTGGGAGTGGGGGGGGGAATTGGGGGCGCCGACGGAGTGGAGTGGGGGTGGGTCAGGGGTAGGGTGGGTAACGGTAGCGGGCTGGAGATGTGGGGAGAGAGGCAGGGCTTGGAGTGGAGGTGCAAGAGGGGTGGGGACCCGGAAGGTGGAGTGGGGGCGGGATGGAGGCGGGGCGGGGCTCTCGAGGGGCGTGTGCACTCGCTCAGGGACACGCGCTCTCTCCCCCAGCAACTGGCTCCAAGTTCCCTCCCTCGTTCTCCGGCGAAGCCTGCCTCAGCCCTCCCAGTCGGCGCAGACCGGACCATCGCGGCCGCCGCCAGCGGGGCCCGTTCCGCCAGCCCCGCCAGCCCCGCCCGCGGCCCCGCGGCAGCAACCGCGAGGACTCGGCCGCCTCTACAACCCGCTCTCGGCCCTCCGCCCTTAGCGGGCCCGGGCTCTCCCTCCTCGCAGTCCTCGGGAGCCTGGCGCCCGGCTCGGGCCGCACGGCCAGGGACTGAGGTGCGCGGCCCAGGTAAGAGTGGGCCGTGGGGGCCGGGAGGGGGACTGCTGGGCCGGGGTTGGGATTCGGGTTCAGTGGTCGCGCCGCGCCCCGGCTACGGACAATGCGGGAGCTGCGCGCGGCCGGCTCTTCGCCTGCAGCTTCTCCGCCCGGGCAGGGTCGCCGTTCAGCCCGGCCTCACCGGCCCAGGCGGACCCCGGTCGGCTTTCTGGCCCGCCGGGGGAGGCGCTGCGCCGCTGCCTGCCCCGCTCCCCCTCTGCGCTCGGCTTGGCTGCGCGTCCCGGACTCGGCTAGGAGGTCGGGCACGGGGCCGGGGTTGGAGCCAGGGCGGGGGAAGCTGGCCGCGCTGCGGAGCGGAGGTGGGCTCCGAAAGCGCGCCTGCCGGATGCTGCTGGAGGAGTGGGACTACCAGGGATGAGGACTCCATTAAGCCGCAGCTCCTTGAATGGTCTCTAATCTCAGTGTTAAATACTTTGGGAGTATCAATACCATCTAATCCTTGGCTGGGAATTATTGCAAGAAATGTAGATTCTGAGGTTCCAAAAGTTTGTTTTTGGTTACCCCTTCCAGCTCCTCCCTTGGCCTCAATTGTCTCTATTTTCTTTGAAAGCATACAGATTTGAAATAGAATTAAATTGTCCTTGGCTCACTCATGCCTCCATCACCCAGAGGAGCTCATAACTTGGCAACAAAGCCCATGCAGGCTGTGTGAAGCCCCGAAGCCTGCTGCCCAGCCTGGTGCCCTCCTATTGTTTAGAGCTGGAGCTGTACAGTGTAAATGGCAGTGACAGGTCTCCCCTAAGCTGGCTCCTGGGGAAGGAAGGGAGATAACTTTGCAGTGCTCTTAAATTACTCTGGAAAGTGGAAAGAAAACACCTGGTGCCCGGCTTTTTAACCCTTTCAAGTTATGATTCAGATTCATTGAGACACACACACACACACACTCACACCCAGAAAAGTGCAGGCTTTCTTTCCTGCCAAAAAATAGGCAAACTCTGGGTTCTTCCTCACAGCCAGTTTATGTCCTGTGCAAAATCTGGCACACATCTGTGACAACATTGCACTGCTGGTGTTATGAGGATTGCAAACTGGTCTGTTTCTCAAAAGGGAATATGATAGTAGAATAAGCATTTTTGCAATATGAATAGTGGGACTTCCATTTTCCTTATTTCCTTTGTTGGTGAAGAAGTTATTTATTTAGTATTTCCCCCCCAATTTACACGTAGTCATTTCTGGAAGGATACTTGTATTAATTTCTTGTGCTCATTTTTGTGACATCACAACCCCTGGTTATTCAGATAAGCTATTTATTACGCATAGTTGTTCTAAAATAAGGGTGAGTTAATGGTAAACTAGAATCCTTCGCTCATAACATCCCATTGGTTTACCCTACGGTATTTAATCTGCAGTGTTACTATAGGCTGTATACCATAAAGTCGCTAATTCAACAGAGGTAGTGGTGCCTTGTCAACTTGATAATCTATAAAGTGATTAGAACTGTGCCTTACATATAGTTCTAGGTGTCAGATAATATTACTTTTAATTTTTCTTATCAAGCTATGTGTTTCTTTCTGTTTGGAAAATGGTTGTTTTGATTTTTAAAATTCTGCTTTGTTAGATCATGATCTATTTTAAGCCTGTGGTTTAATTTTAGATCAGGGCTGAAGTTGGGTTGTTGTTTTGCCTATGACTGACAAGCTGCCCTATGTATCCATATGCATGGTAAGGGTTGATTGAATTCATCTTATATAGTGGATTTCTAAGGGAAGGACCACAGTCTTGAATCTAGTTGTGCCCTGGTGCCTTTCATAAGGAGACCTGGTTGTCCTTAAAAGGCTAATTGTTCAAAGAGAAGCCTAGACATTAGGGAAAACCTGGGCTCTGAACCCCATCTCTGACCTCCTCTGCACTCCCTTGTTCTCTAGGTTTAGAATCCTACTTCCAATTCCCAGTTGAAAGAACCATTGGTACAGCAGAGTTAAGTAACTCCCGCTGTGTTAAAACATAATGAAAGATAAACATGTCTGCTATATATACATCAACAATAGCATATAATTCTTATTCATGCTTTAAAATCTTTAGAGCAGGATTTATAACCTAATTAGCTCAGATAAGAAAACTCACTTATTTAAAACTACTTACTTGCCACTTATTTAAAACTGCTTATTTGTCATGTGTTAGTAACCAACGATTGTGTTTGCTGTTTAGATATTTTAAATGATTGGCAGGAGTTTACTCTCATTTCATGTCCTCCCTTCCCCTTTAACATTGAAGTAACTTTTTCAAAGTTATTATTTTAAATAACTTAGCCAAGCGAAGGTATGGTATTAACTGTTGGGGCCCTGCAGAAGCAAAACTGCTGTAGGCACAGTAGCTTGGCAGTAGATGGCGCTGTGGACAAGGCTGCTGAAGGAAGCACTTGGATGGTTTAGTAGAATCCCAGGGATTAATTTAGCAATCTCATTGTTTGCTCCCCCCAAAACATACTCTTACCAACCAGACACTATCCAGCATTCTTTTTGAGAATATGGTTTGCTTTTAAACTTGTTCTTTATATGTTCAACATGTGTAGACCGTTTACCATTTTTCTCTCTGAAAGCGATAGCATTTTAGGTGCTAGACAAACATTGCTTGCAAAAATATTATTAGTCAACTATTTATTTTATTTTATTTTCCCACACTAGAGTCAGATTGATCAGCTGAGCCTAGAGGATTTCCAACTAATTTGACCTTTTTTTCATACTTAACTTTTTAGGAGAGAGAAACAAATGATCAGAAACCTACTTGCATCTTGAATTTAGTTAAGAAAGCAACTTCCTAGGGCCAATTCCAGTTTACTTTGATTTGCATCATTCTTCTGGCTCCTGGTGTGATGCAATGAGAGTTGATATTCAGGATGAAGACCGAAGTTTTGCAAAGTCATGACTCAGCCAAGAAAAATACATTCATTCCATTCAGTACAGACACCAAGACAAGATAGTACACTCAGAAAAAGGATTTCTGGTTCATAATAACAGTTATCTCCAAGGGCTGGCTCTGGGACCAGCAAAGTCTTCAATGATTGATGGTGGGTGCATCTCTCCTCTAAGACACCGTAGGTACTGTTATACCCTTTCTATAATACAAGTGAAGGGAAGTGACTTTTCTGAGTCACATAGCTAATATGTAGCAAGGTGTGTGTGTCTCCAGACCCTATGGATCTTTCTCTCATGCCAGGAGGAATAACTTCTGCCTTGTACATTCAACTGCTGAAGGTATTTGTTCCATATCTTCTTTTCAGGTTTGATGTCAACAAATCTCATAACTCATTGACATACTTTGAATTTTGTGCTTAGCATCTGATTATCAAAGAGTCTAAAATGAGAAAAAGTATGCCACTTTCAATTTTCAGAGGAAACCTTTTAAGATTTCACAATACCTTGTTAAAGACTGCTTGTTTAAGGAGGGTTGAGGAGAGAGATGGCACATTTAACGTCTTTGAACTATGTAGCCTCTGATAAAAATGTCTTAGATTTAGAAGTAATAAAGAATGTTGGGTTGGTTTTTGGCTTCGTTGCTCAGGTGATCTGGGAGCAGCACAGCTCCCCCTATGCCCAGTGACTTCTTTCCCTTGGGTTAGAGGGAGGCATATTACTTTTGATCACATAAGTATATCAGAGGGGATTATGATGATTTCAGAAACATTGAATCAAATCCTCATTCTGTATATTCATTTATTTTATTTTATACCATAGGCAGAGCCTAATCTAATTTTTTAAAATGGTGATTTTTTTTTGGACTGAAAACATAGAAATGCAAAAATATAATATTTGGGAATTATTCAGAAGAAAACACATATTATAACCAAAGTGTTTATCAGAGAAACTAAATGCAGCATTGACTTTAGACTTTTAAAGGATAAATTATGAGATGATTTGCGTGAAAGATTTTGGGGAATAGTTGTAGGAAACTTAGTTTTTTATTCTTTGTGAATGTTATCATCCAAAAGATTACAGATAATTAAGATACACACAAGGCTTCTCCACTGTTGGATAATTCTTTTTCATCCTGTTTTAAAAACAACCTAGTTTGTTTCTGAATGCTCCTTTTGTAATATAAAGTTAATGAACTTAAATCATGGATATGTCATTTTGACATACTTGATTTCCTTCTACTTATGGGAAGAAGGGATTGAGTGAGATTTTTGCATTTGTTCACATTTTACGGTTTGCCTCATAAGGAAACACCCATAAGAACCTGACATTCAAAGACAGAAGCCTTGTTTTTGTTGTTGTTGTTGTTGTTTTAAAGGAAACTTTAGTAGGTGAAGCAAAGTTTCAAAGTATGTTTGGTGATAAAAATAGTGAACATGTGGATGATTAAACAGTTTTAAACTGGCATTAAATCTGGGACTTTAAAATTGTAAACACTTTAAAGAGAAGCTCAAAAATGAATACCTAAGCAAAAGGAAACAGTATGTCATTTGGCGGACAGGTTTCTGGAGAATTTGAAGAATTCTGTGGTATGTTTTATACATCAGGGCAAGATCAATGGGTTTTGAAATTGTCCGGTTCCAGATAAGGCTTTTAAAAATACAATTCACAGGAATATGGGAAAGTTTTTAGTAGTTGTGTTATCATGCAAACCATTATTTTTCTCACAGTCCCATTAGAAATTTATTTCATCTTTTTAATTTTCTTTTTTCAGAGGAATCGCAGATAGGCTTCAAAACAATCATTCTCACCAGTGAATTTTTTTGTCCCATTTATAAATAAAAAATAAATAATTATGCAAAAGAACATAGTTTACTAAGTTCCTCTGCTATGATGATTATGTTAAATAGATATTGATAGAGGACTTATTGTGTGCCAAGCACTTTGAATAAACACTGGTCAGGAAAGACAAGTTTCCTTCCTCTTTGAGGCCTTATTGTGTAAAGTGGGAAAATAGATAATAAATTAAATGAATAAATGAAAAGCGGACTTAAGGCAATAGTAAGTGCAGTCAAGAGTGGGGACCACTTTTCCATCTGG